TCGTCTTCTTAAATTCATTTTAAACCTCTTAAATCAATTTTTTTATTTATTTATTTTTTTCCCCAAAGTTTTTAAATTCCTTGTTTTATTGTTGTGATTATTGTTTTTATTTCATTTTATGTAAAGCACTTTGAATTACCATTGTGTATGAAATGTGCTATACAAATAAACTTGCCTTGCCTTGCCTTGCCTTGCAATGGCTAGGCGGAAAATCGTGTGTGGGACGAATACATTTCTAAGCTTAATTTTACTGCTTTATGAATATAAAAACCAAAAGGAATGGTATTCTTTGTAAAGAAGACACTCCAAGCTTTCAAATGAATCCATATATGGGCTGATACCATATAAGGAAGGCTATGTAAATGAAGCATACACATTTTTAACGTGACTTTGGACCCGTATCCGGGTCCGCAGAGTTTAACTATATTTGGCTCTCCACTGGGCCACTTCACTGTTGGCCTTAGACATCCCACGCTGGAGTTCAGCTTTGGCCTCCTGCTCCTCCTCATACTGCTCTCTGAGCAAATCACAGTCATGGCGGGCAGACTGAACTGCATGGGCCAGAGCATTCTTGGCCTATAAGGCAGCATATTTTGGGATTTTAAACACTCTACCCTCTATACAATGGTTTGGATTTTCAAAAATACATTACAAATCATTTGATTATAAAAACAAAATATTATGTGCAACTCTACCTTGACTTCTTCCTCAACATGTCTTTTGAGATCCTCAATTTGCTGAGTAAAAGCCTGTTTTCCTCTAGTTAACTGTGAAACAAGTGCTTCTTTCTCTTCCAGTTGACGGCTAAATTCACCTTAGAAACAGGTTACAGATATTAGCATGAAATATAATAACAGAATCTTTTAACTCAGTTTTGTTTTGAGATTTTTTTACATGTGTAGCATACTCTCTTACCATTTTCCGTCTTGCATTAAAAATGACATAACTGAGCGAATGACACTTAATGACAGTCGTCATAAACATGCATAAAACCTCCTTCATATTCATGACATGTCATGTCATGATTATGAAGGTGTCATGTCAGTCTTATGCACACCCCTTCAAGTAAAGTGTTACCGAAAAAACTTTGGTTTTATTTTTCAGCTTGATGTTTATACAGTGGGGGAAAAAAAGTATTTAGTCAGCCACCAATT